TCTTTTATGCTTTATCACACCATCTAAAAAACCTAAAATGATGTCAATGATGAGCATTCATTTAAAATTTGAGGATGTGATGCCGACTAAAATTTGAGGATGTGATGCCAGAGGAGCTTCATTAAAAACGACTTTCTTTTTGCATGCATTAAAACCTAAAATGATGTCAATGATGAGCATTCATTTAAAATTTGAGGATGTGATGCCGACGACTTTCTTTTTCCATGCATTAAGAGGAGCTTCATTAAAACTGACATTGGTTGTCCTTGCGGGCCACGAGTTTGAGTAGTCTACACCTGACACATGACAACCCAAATAAAAGAATTTTAAGATTTTCAGGCATACAATCAATTTCCTAACTTGTCATTGTTGAGGGAGGTTAAACATGTCAGATGAGAAGGTTTTGATTTATTTCTAGAAGACTATATTGAATAATTTGAGTGTTAAATTTCTGTTAAGTAGTGCACCTGTTCATTTTTAGCTTGTTCGAATCTTTGTTATTTATGTTTGGCTCTTTTGAACTTTTTGTAGTTCATGTTCGACTCGTGTTTGAAATGGCTCGTCAATAATATATCCATATTCAGGTCGATTTAAACTCGTTTGTCCGAATTAAGCTTGTGCTCAACTAGTTAACTTCTTACAAGCCAAACCTCCCTCTTGTTTTGTTTGAAATCAATGAAAATTTATTATTTTAATTAAATAAATTAAATAAAGTCACATTTTTTACATATAACATAGCTTTTCAAGGTTTCGCTGCCTCACACACGAGCAATTTAATTTTCTGGCTTTCTCACATAGTGACATAGAAAGTCTTAATGTGGGACTAAAGTATTGAATGAACGAACCAAAATCTGATTTTGTCAGTTTTTCCTTGTTGGCTGAATATTACAAGGGGCATTTTTATACCTACCACCCAATTTGTACTTATTTACATCTCGAAGACGTATATTTTTACTTTTTATAACCAAATATTTTTTGAAAATTAGAAATCTAGCATTTTTCAAATGTAGTATAAATAATTAATATAAAAATGATATAAATAAATATTATTATTTAATTCTTTCGAGCCAAATTGAGCCGAACATGAATCAACTAAAATTTATTTGTATTCGACTCATTTATAAATTTAGCTAAAGAGAATTATTTTTGTTTGACTCACTTGCTTATTGAACAAATCGAACACGAGCTATTTAACGAGTCGAGTATTGGTTGGTTGCGAACAACGAGCTTTTTTGACAACCCTAGTACTTATGGATAGATGATGAGACAGGCGAATTTGGAAATTTCTTTTGATGTTTTGTAGGAAATAACATCCGATAGTAGGATTTGGGTCTTTCTAGAGAAGAAGTCTCTCTTAATGGAGGAGAATGACAAGAGCTATCATGGGGACAGCGGGGTTCAGTATCCCGCTATCCCGAAATAACAGGATTTTAGTGCTCCGCGGTTTTTGACACACCGCGATTATGAGTTGAGCCAATAACGATCTTCTTGCCCTATCTGCAGCTTTAGCAGGGAGAGCTTGCCTTATGTGCCACGGGTCTTAGTGGCCCTTATTTCCTATTTCCTTTTTTCCTATTTTTATTTTCCTATTTATAAATTATATTATTTTCTATAATGGAATTTTTATATTTGTGTTGGTTGATTTGAATTTTAGAATTTATTTGATTTTATGAATTGAAAGACATGTCTTTGAATTTTACTTTTCGGAGTGCTCTATCTTTTTTTTTTTTGTAAGTGTTGTATCTGCAACTTGCTTAGGAATAGATGGTGGAACCTCCTTGCCAGTAGTATCTCACAGTTTTGCCATCCAACTTGCTAATTTCAGCCAAGATAGCTGCTGACGATGTCGAACCTGGTGTCCAACAACAAATCTAGCTCTGTGCAAACACTATCGACCACACATGTTCGTGTTTCCTTGCTATTCCACAACCACCTCTTCGTGAAATCCGTTTTCCAAATATCTTCTAGGAGCCCATAATTGTATCAAGTTAATCGTAAACATAATCAGCAAAACAAATATTTTTTCACTGAAAATGCACAAGTAAAGTAGGAATTCAATGATACTGGTTCCAAATTCGAATTTAAAAAAAATATCAATGGCCTGTAGTTTTTAAATAAATATTAAAACACAGAAATCTCTCAAAATAATGAAACTTTCTTAGTTATGGGTGCATGACTTAAATCGTGATTATCATGCATCATGCATGTAATGAAGGTCTCTATGGAAGCTCAAAGAATAAATGTGTGCATAATTTATTAACTTCTGCCTATTTTGTGTGAAGAATAACTCAATATGCTATAATGAGCACAAGTGAAAAAAGGCCATGAAAGATTAATGTAGAAAAAGAGGATTTTCAACATTTTAAAGAAGACATGCAATTTATCTTGAAAATGAAGCTAAAAAAATAGATTCGTTAATGATTGACGGAGAAATATATTGAGCAAATAACATATGGCAAATAAAAATTATGGTTGGAGGACAGTCTGGGAAGGACCGGAGGAACACTGGAGGTGTACCAAAGAAAAGATGGACAGCAGAGGTGATTGTGAATGTATGAGGAAAAGATGAATGATGTCTTTGTGAAGAGGAAGTGAGGAAGATTTATTGCGACGGATATGTACCTGAGGAGATATATTAAGGACAACAATCACATGGAAGGAAGAACCAAGGAGATTGTGACTCACTAGTGAGGAAACTGAAGATGATCAAGGGTTGCTACTTGTGGGTAAGTTTTTGGGTGTGATATCTAAATTGGTTGTTTGGAAAGTATTTTGAGGGCAAATTATTAAAGAAGAGTATTTGAAGCACCTGTTCCTTTTGTTTCATTTTGAAATAAGTAATTTTCTCTCCTTGCTAGAATTGCTTATATGTATTCAAATTATGTTTTGCATATTATATAGTTTATATAAATACATATTTACCAGCCAACTCAAACTATACATGAGCTAGGTGGAGTCAACTTGAAAGCAATTTGGAGTATGGGTTGGAGCTTGAATTCAACTTAAAATCTAGTTGAGTTAAGTTTTGAGCACTTTTTTAGGATGATTCTATCTTTTAGAGGCCTTCTTGGTTGGCATAGTTTCAATCTTGATTTAGTTTAAATTCATAATCCCTAAGTTCTGTGGTGGCTGCGTTGTTGATAGGCTTGAGTTGATGTTTTGAAGGATTGTTGCATGGAATAGCATGCTTTATGTGGAATGGTTGGTGGTAGACTCTACGTTGATTTTCTTTACTTGTTGTTATATGGAAGCTGGCTATTGTCCTTATTTGGATCAGTTAGTTGATGGGCTTTTTGATGAATTTTGGTTCATGTTCAGGGTTCCTAGCCTAAGGTGTAGCCTTGCATAATTTCTGCCCAGTTATACACATATTTTTGGCTTTGGCTCTTGTAGATTTGCAGACTCCTGATTTATGCATAACTTTGGCCTATTGATGGGCTGAGATTAGATTTAAAGTTTGACTGGTTATTATCTTCTACAATTTTAATTTAAATTTAGATTTTTGAGTTTTGTGCTAATGACGTACTAGCTTATGGTATAAAAAGTCTAGAAAAAGTTGTTGTGATGCTTGTAATTGGAGACTTATGTCTTGAATAAAAGTTTTCTTTTTAATTTTAGTGTCATGAGTGCAATTTGCATATATGATTTCTTTAAATGCAATACAAGTGTTTTTAACTAAATTTAAGGGACGTCATCTTCTTGTGCTCGTGTGAGGTTTTAACTTTTTTCTTATTTTTATTTATTTTTTATTTCATCTACACATTTTGTTATTGACTTATTTAGTGCTATTGATTTTGTTTTAAAATTGACCAATTTGAAATTATTTTTGTGAAATTTAAATTCTAGTGTTTGTTGATCTTATAAGTTTCTAACCCTTAGCCAAAATTTTCGGATTATTTTATTGTATGTTGGATTATAATTCTGGCATTGCTTGTTTATATTTGAAAAGTTACATTGTTGAATTGCTTGGTGATATGTGATGCGTGATTCTTAAATTTCCTTGGCTGTAGTCATACCATGCATCGTACTGGTTGCATGTTTAGCACAAAGTCATCTTGCATCAACATCCTTTATCATACATATAAACAACCGAAGCTATGTTCTGTTGGTGCATATAAATTTTTACTATTTTAGACACTTCGCTTACAAAAGTGTTTGACGTTCTAGATGGTCTTCAAAACTTGATGGATCAAATTACACCCATTCAAGGCATGTGATACAGTGCAATGGTCACTATGATCTCATTAATCTTTTGCAAGTAACATATGAAGGATCTCATAAGGAATATCTGTGGAGCAGAAAATTTGGGTTTTAACCTAAACGGCTGTAGTCCATGGTAAAGTAAAAATGAAAACAAGTATGGCAGGAACTCGATTTCTCCGAAAATCCATTTGCAATTGAGACCGGAAGAAACAAGGGTTGGGTGATAACAAATTAGCCATACAAATTGATGAACTCTTGGTAGCCTGGTGGTTGAGTTGTGTCTTTCTATATAACAAGTTTAATGGTCAATAGTTTTAGTCCTTATAAAATTTTATAGACAAAAAAATTTAACCAAGGACTATTTGATTTGAAACCCAACTCTTATGGCAATTCAATGGATCATACTGAATCCTGATTTTCTCCTTTGCATATGAAGTAAATTTCTTCTTATGGCAGCTTTCTTAATATTTCTAGAACATTACATCATTACCCTTTGAAGTAGATTTTACCGCTCTTTTTATTCCTTTTTGCTGCTGAGATATGTGTCAACTTGCTTGTTTTCTATTCGTGCTGTGACTGCTGTCTATCTTTGATTTGTTTTTCATTGTTTCTGAAATATTACTGTGGGTAAAACTTTTTTTGACATCGGATGTGCGGTTGTGTAAGCTATTTCTGCAATTCTTAGTACGTGTCATATTTTATATACATATTTTCTGTTAACCTTGCCATAGTAAGATACCATGTTTCATCTTTTTTGGCAAGCTGCATGACAATGTATAACTTTTATAAACATTCAGGTAGTTGTACTGATCATAGTGCCAAGTTTGAAAGAGTCATCTCCATTGGATGCAAAAGACCTATTGATGCTCATTATCTTATTTCAATATGTCCCTAGACTTATAAGGATCATACCCTTGTATATGGAAGTAACTAGATCAGCTGGCATAATTACTGAAACTGCTTGGGCTGGGGCTGCCTTCAACCTTCTGCTTTACATGCTTGCAAGTCATGTAAGTTCATTATTCTCAGCACTGTTATTTCTATCGTAGTTTGAAGTACAGTTCTGTAATATTCCTGATGGAGGCCCGTGTAATCAATAAAATCTTTTTCAGGTGCTTGGAGCATTCTGGTACTTGCTTTCAGTTCAACGAGAAGATGCATGCTGGAAACATGCTTGTTCCATGAATAAATGCAACATCTCCTCCTGGTACTGTGGAAAAGAGAAAGGCCAAGACAATGGATTTGTTGTAGATGCATGCCCCATACAAAATCCTAACAGTTCTGTTTTTGACTTTGGAATCTACCAATTAGCACTTAAAAATATTGTTCAGACAAGAAAATTTCCTCAGAAGTTCTTCTACTGCTTTTGGTGGGGGCTGCAGAATCTTAGGTTTGTAGGTGCTTTTTTGTCCTTTGATAAATTCATTTTTATGTAACGATTTTTTAGGACTATTAGGAAAATTGCCCATTTCGTTCCAAAGACTGGATGACAAAAGTTGCGAATTGATGTAACATCAGTTTGAATGAACAATTAATCAATAGCATGTATGATTTTCAATGCACTTTTATTAAGTAATAGACTCTTGATGGATATGTGACATCACAAATTAACCTTATAAAAATAGATTGGGCAAGCTCTGCGCCCTGTTTCATCTCGTAATTCTACATGACACTGTACCTTAAACTTGAGTCAATCTGCTCTGGATTGTGTTCTGAAGGTCATCGAAAAGTTTGAATTTTGTGAAGAATCGCCTTGTTGAATAACTACTTTCTTTGGCTTTCGTTAAATGAGACGAGCTTTAATGATATTTAAGCTCATCTAGTCTATGATTCTCATGGATTGTACTGAAAAATCATGAATCTCTTATCATCAAGTATAATGTTCTTTAAGACTTGAATGAATGTGCAAATAAGGCTATCTGTAGCGAATAAGACCTGTGGAAATTCAAGTTCAAAATGCATTGAGGAAGGGCTGCTAGCACGTCTTAATGCATGTACTTGTTCTGATGGCTTGTTCCTTTATATGATTTTTTTTTAAGTGGGAAACTGGGGGTTTTAATAAAATCTTAGTGCACATTCTTGTCCATTATAAATTAATAAGAAAAATTATATTATCAATATGGTAAGCTTGGATATATATATATATATATATATATATATATATATATATA